CATCCCTGCAGGTACCTGGCGGAGAGGATGGCCTGCTTGTCCGGCCCCGCGCAGATGTCCTGGGTGACGTAGGGGTTGGCGTCGCACGGGGTGCCCAGCAGCGTGTAGTTGGGCTTGCAGACGGTGAGGAAGAAGGGCGCGTGGTAGCCGGTGGCCAGCTGGATCACATCAGTCACCAGGGCCGTGGCGCAGAGCCCGAACACGTGGACACCTGCAGAGGGGGAGGTCACCCCAGCCCTACACCGTCCCGCTGCCCTGATGGAGCTGGACCCAGACCCAGAACAGCTCCTGTTCCAGGCAGAGCAGCCTGGGACCAGCCTCCTTGCTCCCCACACACCTGAGGGGACAGGGTCACAACGTACCCACAAACCTCACGGTGCGGCGCAGGAAGGAGTTGAAGTTGCAGCCGCCGGCGTTGATGCTGCCCTCGGTGCCGCCGCGGCCGCGCAGCCGTGACTGCAGGCAGTAGACGATGCCCTCGCCGACCATGATCTGCGGAGGCAGCGGGGGCTCAGGGGGGCTGGTGGGGAGCGGGTGCCAGGGTGACCGGACCCCTGTGATGAGATGGGATGGGCCGGGACACACCGAGGCGGCGGGTGCAGCGAAGGCCAAGCTCAGCAGCATGAGCAGCGGGATGAGCTCCTCGCTGCTCTCCACGTAGGGCATGGAGAGCGCCCGGTCGTAGCACTGGAAGCCAACCTTGGCCGGCTTGAAGAGGTCCGTGAGCTCCAGGAAGTAGAGCGTGATGATGGAGGAGGCCACGATGGGCAGCTGCGGGGACACACCGAGGCGGCGGGTGCAGCGAAGGCCAAGCTCAGCAGCATGAGCAGCGGGATGAGCTCCTCGCTGCTCTCCACGTAGGGCATGGAGAGCGCCCGGTCGTAGCACTGGAAGCCAACCTTGGCCGGCTTGAAGAGGTCCGTGAGCTCCAGGAAGTAGAGCGTGATGATGGAGGAGGCCACGATGGGCAGCTGCGGGGAGCAGAGCGCGCTGGGGCGGGGGCCGCGCGGGACGCAGAGCCGGCCGCGCTGCACCCACCTCCACGAAGTAGAAGCAGGGCAGGAGGGTCATGCTGTCCTTGGGCACCTTGGCCTTCTCCTTGGCGGGGAGCATCGTGTTCCCTGCTGCTCCGTGCGGCGCCGGCTCCTCCGGGGCGAGAACGGGACCCTGGGGGGGAGCCAGGACCCCCC